GCGCCGGGGTACAGAGCCCTACGCAATCACCTCCAGTCTTGCACCATCCGCCGATAATTGGCTTACACGCCCTACAACTGTGGCCTGTTTTGTTGCTGCTACTACCTCTGACGATGGACTGCTGTACGAGTTCGAAAGCTCAGAACAATGAACAAAGTGTTCCGGTGCTCGACCTCTCTTCTTCACTTATGCATGCACCTGGAACTCGAACTTTCGCCTTCACTTCCTGGTCATATCATTGTTGTTCGGATTGATGTGTTCCAATGAGAAGCCTGCGCTTTCAGAGTGCGTAAAGAATTTCCAATTAGCTATGCGGGTAGGACAAACAAAATTTTTCACCTATACCAAAAGACTGCATGACAGCCTCTGAAATGTCTCCAAAGACAGTTTTATGGAGTGGCCATGACAATTCAAGTCGACCAGTCATGTGCGGGCATATTTATAAATCGTCTAATGCAAAATTGGCACGGAGGCTGAACTGAACGAGGCTGTACGAGGGTTCTGTTAACGATGTGGTTGTTAGCAGACAAAAAGATGCCGATGAAATGAGTGTTACAATAAAAAATGTATACACAAAAATGCCATCGTGCATGGACCGGAGGACTGGTTTGACACCCGCTCAGTCTCTCATAGCAGCAAGTGGAAAGACGGTTATCAAATAAACCGTACTGAACTTGAGAATTTTCTTACCAGTATGATACTAACAAGGCTTTGTTTACGCCTCTTTCGCAAGCCAAGGCGAATTTTCTACAGCCTGATATTGGATTTAAAAGTTGTCTTTTGCTCAACCCTCATAATTGATGATTATCCAGAAAGATTCATTAAAAAGTATAGCAGTGTCACGTCGTAAATAAGTGATGGAGCAACCAGTTCAGAAAAGACTCCTCACAATATTGCTGTCAGTTGAGGGACGCCGGTGCTACTAGCAGGGACTACGTTGTGTCAATGAATGTGTCTAAAGCGCAACCCGCCTCATGTTTCGCAGTCATACGCATGTCATTCTGTCTGAACCGACAAAGAGGTTCATGCCGGGACATGCTGTGACAATCTGCTCCCGCAACCGCTAGCGCGGCTGCATGCCCTCGTTGCTTATCGTCCGCCCGACGTTTCCTGCAAATCACTTGTTTGAACCGTGCGTGACTTGGCCTTACCGTGGCGAAGGCGTGACGCCAATCGACGCTGCATCCCTCGCTAATTGGTTGCAGACGGACGAAGCCCACGCCGGGGTTAACAACCTCGAAGGTTTTTACCCCCCTGGTGAGGTGGCTTACTGCAGCTGCCTGCTCAGCTGCGTGTACGGTCTATTGCCCCAGTAAAGCTTTCCAATAACCCTATCTTCCCTGACTGTGGTTTGGGAATATCCGAGTTGTCGACTATCGCACCTCGAGAATGTCACCTAAATCATCGCCAGTGGTTTCATCTGCGCTCGCTCGGCACAACCGGTCCTGTATAAGCAATGAACCATGCCGTACAGCCACATCCACTCTGACAATCAATAGTTCTTTAGCTCACAGTAGCCTTTTTCAACCACACTGACTGTAGATGCCGATGATTTTGCTTCACTCCTTCTGCTTCGCCCGTCCTTCCGGATGATTGAACGCTGCGTTTTAAAACTGAGATGTTACGTGATTATAGCAAGTGGCAAGTGTATTCTGATATGGCTGGGGAAACATACGCCTGCCATGTCCTGGCATGCACCTGGACCAACGATCTTCTTGAATTTTAGTGCTATTTGGGGTCTGCCCGTCGGCCGTATGAGTACTCAGTTCTCTTATATATATATGATGACAGATGGGCGCTCACCGATCAAGTTACGGAACATGCTCGTTCCGCTGTGCCTTGGGGCTCATACTAGAACCCTCGCAGGCAGTCGCACAGTATGAGCCCCAAGGCACAACGGAACGAGCACGTTCCGTAACCCGATCGGTGAACGCCCACTGTCATAATTGATATTCCCGATCACAACCGACAGGACAACGGGCCCGTGGCTCAATGGTAGAGCGTCAGACTCCATGACCAAAGATCCCGGGTTCGAATCTCAAGTGATCCACACTTGGAGTTGGGTATGACTGGCTGATGACGGCTAATAAGCCAGAAATGACCATTCCGGTCTCCCTTGTTTTTGTCGGCTCCATCTCATATATATATATATATGACTCACACTGCGAACCCTGCATACTTCTGAGCTGCGTATTCGCTCTACTTACAATGCAAACTTCTGGCACGGAGTAAATGAATAATCTGGGCATTTATCTCACTGACGTTAACTATTGCCATAGGCTTTTTCCAAACGATGTAACTGATACTTGTCACAAATTTACATCACAATAAGTTTTATTATTGTTGTGCTTCGATTGAAAAGCTTGCCGCTTTTTATATCGGTCGCTTGGAGAAATAGGTATTTCCATTTTTTCACTCGGTGATTCTGTTATGCAATGGCAAGAGGTAGTTGAGAAACCCATGGAGTCAGTGTATCCCGCCTCTCAGGCCTGTTTCTAACGTAACTTTCCGCTTTTGAAAATGAAAACCTTCGGCGTTACTGTTGATTCCAAGAAAGGCAGTGCCTTGGTTACCGTTGACAGGCCTGGTTTTTCACTTTGAATTCTGTATCAACTCCTACGTCGACCAGACAGTTTTACTCGCCTTTCTACAACCTGATGTTTTTGTAAAGTGGACGTTAATCAGTCTTCCAATGACTAAGTAGCCTGCGTCGTTAACTAGCCCCTCACTTAACAATGAGTCTAAATCTTCTAGCCTGAACACATCATCCATTCATACTAGCACTCGTTGAGTTGTAGTCAAATCAGTAAATATTTATCTCTGGTTTTTGGAGTTCACTTCAATAGGTGTCTGCCTGCCATTGTTGAAACCGTCGTTTTAAAGCATCGTCTGATAGAGTTCATTTGGCCTTAATTTCCAATGTCGACTTGTGATGTCTGTATTTCGCCCACCGCGTGTTAGTGAACAGGGAAAATTTTGACAACGCTTTGATCGTTATACACAAGTGGAAATCCGAAACCAATTTCGCGATATCCAAGCAAGCATTTCTCAGCTTTTCCTACTGAGTGGAGCCAAGTAAATCAAGCTGATATGTAAATGCGCTCAAATGCAGATACTTAGGACTTTGGAGTATTTTTAGGAGAGTTGAATTGCTTTTACAAATCATCAGCCAAGTGCTCAATGAGATGTCACGTTGTGAGAGTTTCCTCGATTGATGAAAACCTACAGAAGCATCCCTTTGATTTGGATAAATACCGGGACGGCACTAGTTACACAAACACTAAAGGGTAAGTTGTCAGATAAATTCAGCATCGAAGTCGCAAGAAATACAATACTTGTAATTGCACTGATTGACAGCTAGACTCTCTTGAAAGATGAAGTCTACCGTGCCCCCCACGGAGAAGGGGTAGGACTGTGACCTGTGCTTGAACTAGTTTATTGGTAAGGCAGACTTGTATTGTGTCCACCGCACTCTCTCCTCCCCCACCCACGACCGGAGGTGGGTTCGGGCGCAGTAGATGACAAAGACAAACAGTACGTTTACGAGTGCCACGCACGGTCTGATCCCCACAACATGCATCTGGCTTTCGTTAGCGTTATCGAGGCCACGTGAAGGAGGAGCCCTTGGATCCCGATTCTCAGTCCTACATTCACTGCAAAGTGCTTTCCTGAGGACTGAATTATCTTGTCAATCGACAGCCTTCCAAGTCACGACATATGTTCGTCAAATTTATTATGACGCCGGGATTCCCCATTGTCGGTCTCACCGTTCATTTCCTCTCCCATGCACCAATCGACTGCCAGGCCCTATCAGCCAACTGGCTTTGAAGTCGAGCGCAGTAAGTGGCAGAGCTGAAGGACCTGCACTGGGGAAGCATGCCTCCCGCCTAGGTAAGATGTGAATGTACTGATATGTGGCGTTGCGTCCGCCACATCGGCAATGGCGACTCGAATTAGATGTTTGCTGTCGGCAAGAAGTGCAATTGTTACGGGATATGCACATGTGACCTATGGATACGTGTGGGCAGGCAGGACAAAGTGTAGAAATGGGACCTCGACTGCAGTGTTTTACAAAAGATTTGCATGAAGCTGATATGGCCGAATAGTCTCATGCGATGACCGAATGTCCTGGGGCAGAGTGAGCAAGTGGAGCGGGTGCGACGTGTGTATGTTTGAGCTCCTGGTACTGGTGCGTAAGTGACCGAGCAAGCCAGTGCGTGGTGTCGATATCCAATAACAATGGAGGCATGTTGTGAGCGGATCTGCAATGCTTATAGCAGGGCAATAGTCGTCATTTTTCGCAGGACAGCAAAAGAGTCCTCATCGATATTGCTAATGGTGACTGTAATAATGGCGTGTTATGAAATGGGACACGAGTTGTTCACATCGTGCCCGGACCAGGACAAGAGATGTCCAGCGAAGGAGATCCATCCCAAGTCCAGTGTCGAGTTCCGAATGCCTAAACGAGCTGTTCCGTGTGTTCTGTAGAGGCACATTTGTCTGCCTTGTCTGCGACCACTCGTAGTTGTGTCACTGTTGAAAAATCGCTTGAGTAGAAGAAAGAATATTTTTGTGCATGTTTTCCAAAAAATATATTCGAATTTATAAGGACATCGGAAATCTACGCGAACAATTCACACTACATAAGCAGTCATTTTTTACGGAATGTAGTTTATGTATGCGGCCGATAAGAAACTAGTGCAAAATTCGGCGCCCTGACGTGACTGATATATCTTAGCATTATGCGATACGATATTTAACATGGGAATCCTGCTTAAGTAATATTCTCGAGTATGAAACGCATTTCAGAATTGTGGTAAATATTTCGTGAAATAGCTTGGTGTAGATTCTGAGGATACCAGTTCTTTCCGGGATTCTAATGTCGGGAAACCTTTTCCTCTATTTAAACTCCGGTCTTCTCCGAAAGCGTGTAGTGTGAAAATTCTTAGAAGTTCCTGATTGACTTTTGTAGATAGGCCACGTCGGAAACGATAGGGTGTATGACCCCCAAGGCACCCCGTAAGGCACCTTCGGACCAAATGCGCCATCGGTCTGCGTCTCCTCCCACTCTCGCTTCTGTCGCAAACTTCGCGTCGAACGCCACTCCCGTTACTGGAGATCACACTGTCGCTGCCCCACCGCCATCGTCTGCTGACACCATTCGCCCTGCCTCAACACCTGCATCGACCGCAGCGTTCAGAATCATCACAACCTCGTTTTTACGCACTCCTCCCACCGATACGACGACGTCTGACGACCCATCAACCTCAAACATCACTGAAATCCCCACGTTCAGCGATGTGCACTCGGTTCATGCCTGTCCTCATTGCAATCGCACCTCCACTTCATACATCGGCCTGGTCGAACGCTCGCGAAATCATTGCACAGAGGCTGGCGAACCTGTGTCTGGAGCACCAACCTACACTCGCCGCATCCGCCTCAATTGCCCTCACTGCACCCGCACATTCATCCACCGTGTGGGCTTATGAGACCGCATACGCATTCCCGAAAACCTGCCGTAGACAACCGTCAGCCGCACCACACCATCACGTCTTCCCCCACCAGCATTCGAACCTCCCAACACCATCACCCATCACAAACACCCAATTGCCACCTCTCACGCAAGTGGGAAGTGCGCATCTCGGCTCCGTCTCCATGCGTCACCTATGCTGCATGCGAGATCCGAGTCCGAGACTACCACGGTGCATCAAGCAGTGTGGCCTGGAAGGCTACTGACTGACACCACAACTCAATCCACGTAGTTTGCCCAGTTGTGTGTGTATGTGTGGAATGGGGACTGATGGGCTGAGAGCCAGGCGGAGATGGCGTCTTCTTAACGTGGCCTACGGCACTCTCACGCATGTGAGGGGTGTGTGTATTTTATGAATATTGCCTATCGGTTGAATACTGTTTGGTTACGCAGACCTGAACGGTGACTGTCCAGGCGCATGCAGGGCCAAGTGCCACACTTCTGGACCTAAAGCTCCGTAAGCATATGCTGTGCCAGGCTCAGAAAACATGGCCCTCGCAGCTTGGTATGCGCTGGGAGCTCTCTGACACCTAGTTCCTTGCCGGTAGATGCGTCAGCGTTCTTGTTGGGTATACAGGTCGTGAGCATGACTTCTCAGTCATCTCCCTCCTTCTGACCCGTCGTGGTGCGCTGTTGTTAGTGAGAATCCTGGTTAGTTGTTGTGTGGGTCGGGGGTGTAAAGTGGGGCGCCAAGATTTGGACTCGGCCGCGCCATCCACCCGCGCCCTCCTCCGCCTCCGGTCTTCTTGACTGTCTTAACACCGAGCTCAGGTAAGGGAGGAGGGCAGATTTCGTTGGATGCTGCACAAGTCTACACTCACTATAAACCAATTCACGCGCAAGTCACTGAGCCCGCTTCATCCTGCTGTTGAGCGCACGATGGACGTCGTCGGGCGCGGCGGTCGAGCTGTCATATACGCCCGAACTCCCGGCCCCCTATTGGAGCTCATGACCACCTTCGGAAGGTAAGGATAAAAAATTACGGGGTGTCTAACATAATGGAAATGTACTCTTAACATGCGATACACAGGAGAAGATCTCTATGCCAATTTAGGGGGGTTCTTACCAGAGATCTAAGCGTCAAGCAATTCCCGCCCCTTTGATACCGGCCCATTCAATTATCCTTGCGTTCACGAGATCAGATTATTCATTCTCTGCCCTGATGTGAAAAGCGACCAAGAACAAACATTCACCCCTCTTATCTGTCCCTTTGCATTCACGTATTCCTGATTTAGGTCGTCGTGGCCCCTGGCTTGCGTAACGGTCGGGAGAGTCACAGCATGGAATCTGATAAATGTCAGCAATTTTTCTCATTTGCATTTAACTGCCCTTCGTCCGCACGATGTTTTCTGCGCAGTGGGTTATACACACGTCAAACGGTGGGACAATGCTGTTTGTTGTCTCTGATAGCCTTCTTCTGTGTGGTAGGATGTGTCAGAGTGTTGGCGGCTTTCCTCTGTCTGTCATCTGTGGACAAGTGAGGGCACGATGACCAGTGAAAATTCGCAGGTATAGGTTTTCGTAAAGTGGTGCTACGGATACTGGTTTTCTTTGCTACTTTGTCCAGACCGTTATGCTATTTTTTTATCCTTGTAAAGGGCTTGGATATATTTGCGTTTGAAGATAGTAGCAATCGATCGAAATCCAGGCGGAATAGAGGAAAAAAGAAAGATAACTCATGCGCCACGAAATGATTGCAGTGATAACTAGGTATCTTGGTTACTTTATTAGACTTTAAGTATGTTGCAATGCAGAGCTTGACGGTGGCGTCAAAGAAGGAGAGTTGCTGCTCCCTCTTTTATTCTCTTGTGAGCTGAATTTTGAGAATGATGCTATTAAGCATTTCCTGAAAGTATGATTGTTTGCCGTTCTTCTCTATAACGAACTGGTCGTTCATGCAAAGATGCAAGATTGTAATGGTCTAATGTGGCCCTTTCAAACCTTTAAGGACCACTTCTGACTGAAGAACTCATTAGCGTTCACTTAATCCATTCATCTGCTTCGTTATTGAATGTGAAAGGGATTCCTGGCGACATACAGAGTTTACTCGATGGCCGATAGTGCGATCAATCTTATTCCTTTGCCCTTTTTCACAGACTGACTGTGGTCGAATCCAGCAGGATGGATGTGAACGATTAGGTCATCATAATAGACCTGTCAGCAGTGGATTTGAAACCAATAGAGCAGGAGCTAACAATGCGCGCTTACTGCGGTCTTTAAATCTACTTACGACTTGGAGGGCGTCAATTTCCACAGGTTGATAACTCAAGGTTTCCCCCATTATTCAGGAATGTTCAGACTACGAAAATGTCCAATTGGATCAGCGAGTTTACTAAAAAAACGCGAAGTGGAATGAGTACTTCTAAATTGGCTGACAAAGCTACACGCAAATTAAGTTGTAGGATATGTTTTCATATGATGGTCAGCCTATGGGAAACCTGGAGAAACCTTGAAATCATACAGTAAGCCTTCGATGGTAAAGTATAATTATTTCCCAGAGGAATACTGATCGCAAAACCAATGGTAGGGGGCTTGCCCTGTTCTCCGATCGAAAACCGACAGGGCAACGGGCTCGTGGCTCAGTAGTTAGAGGCGTGGACTTCTAACAAACAGGTAACCAGTTCGAGCCTCGGGTGTGCCGCACTTCGGGGATGGGTATGACTGGCTGACGACGGCTAATAAGCCAGAAATGACCATTCCAGTTTCCCTTGTCCTTGTCGGTAATATCATTCCGCAAAACCAATGCCTATGGCTCTCACTAAAAACAAGGTAATTTGGTGATACATAGTAAGTTTGCCAGCAGCGGTAGCACCCGTCTCACTCCTATGTATTCTGTTAAGGCAGGCAGCAAGTGACATAATCAAACAAATTGTCTAAGAAAGTAAAAACTGCTCGACCTAGAGGAATGCACTCGACGGGTAGTGCCGGAAAATAACTATCAAAAGTACGAGACCTGTCACGAGAAAATGAATAACCGGGTCGATTCATCATAGACATCATTGTTAGACAGCCCAGTAGAGGCACAAGGACCTAAAAGCAACATGAATTTTATAAAAAAATGACCGTACCATACTGCCTTATAGAAGAAACACAAGAATGTGACGCAAAGTCAAGCCGTTCTCGAGATGCCCATAATATATTCAGACACAAACGCACGAGAGTTCGACCGTCGTTGACGATTATGTCTGCCGTAAAGAAGGAGACACGATCGCTGTAACATCAGCGCTATTCGACCGACGTTCCGGATTTCTGCTTGAATCCATCATCAGAGACAATAGCAGATACGGGTAGTTCATGCAC